GTGCGTGTGTTGCGTCTCGGGCTCCGGGCAGCGATTGGCTGTGCAGCTGCCGCCCCAAACCGGCTCGATCCTTCTAAGTAGGTCCGCGTGGCGCCGCGGTGGCCCTGGCTCCACGACGCCGGCCTCGTTGTCTTCCTCTTGGCCTTGCTCTTGTCCCAGCCCCAGGTCTCCGTCCCTCCATGTGCCTCAAACAGCTAGGAGCTTGGGTCATGTAGGTGCACGAGATGGCGAGGCTCTGCCCCTACGGAGAGCAGGAAACAGAATGAACACGGAATGGTACGTTGAAGGCCCCGTGGGGAAAAGCTAGAGCAGAAGGCAGTGACAGTGGGCGTAGCGGTGGGTTTAAAGAGGTGCCAACCTGAAATAGAGATGTCTAATTCCCCAAGGAAGCAGGTTTATTCACGCTTAGGCTGAGGACGGGCCACCTGGGAGCAAAGACAGGCGTCCTCCGAGCTCCTACGGTGGAGCTTGGGGTTTTCCTTCATAGGGGAGATTAGAAAGGAGGTGACGAACGTGTCTGCTCCCACAAGATCTAACAGGAACAGCCTAAGTGCTCGGGTTGACCTGACTCTTCACCCCTACACGGGTTACAACGAGGAGTAAAAAGTCTGTGGTACTTTGGGGTACTTACTTTAATGCCAGCTAGTCAGTGGACTCTCTTTCTTTTTTTGAGTTTTGCTATAAGACATGTGTGCTTGCAGGAGAGACAGGCAGAGAGAAATCCCCTCCCACCCCACACCCTTAGGGATGGCCACACCGGATTTGGGCCACACACACGGGCCTGGTGGGAGTTTCAAGCCATAGGGCCCAGACTGGAACCGCAGTCCACCGCGTGGGAGTCCAGCACCTTAACCACATGCCACCTGCTAGCTCCAATCAGAGCGTTTGTTGAGAAGCCTCTGAGCAATTAAGGCAGGTTTGGGATGAGGTCTAACCGAGGCTTACACACTCTCCTGTCTGAGGTTAGGTTTTATCCAAACCTCATTCTTGGCATTTTAGTCTCTTCTCAAGGACTTACATTGGCTAACATTCATTTAGCAAAAGTCTAATTAGGTTTCTATGACCACAATCTTATGTGCCCCAGCCAGATTATGTAAATTAGTTTATAGGCCTAAAAGCTCCAGCCAGTCTGAGAGCTGCTTCTAAATTTCTATAGGAGTCAAGAGATCACAGTAAGTATCGCTCATATTCCAAGACCACGTACTTCTCAACATCTAATTAGTTTCAGATGCCTCAGGTCAGCAGGTAGCATCGAGGTTAAGGCAGCTTGATCCCATTCGACTGAGTGGTTCGAGTCCTGGACCCAGCGGCTTAAAAATCACACTGGGCGTGTCTGTGCGTGCCAGCCCAAAATCCTGAGGATCATGGAGAAGGGATTATGGCATAGCCATCCCCTCTAGTGAGTGATTTTTTTTTAATTAAATAATTTTAAAAAAATTTTTGCTATGGAGTATGTGTGCTTGTCAGAGAGACAGAAAGTGAAAAATCACCCCCTGCAGGAATGGCAACACTACAATCCCTTCTCTCTGTTCCTTCTCTTGGGATCTCGGCCATGCATGCACACATGCCTGGTTTGAATTTTAAGCCACTGCGTCTAGGATTTGAAGCGTGGTAAACTACATGGGGTCCACCGATGTAACCATTATGCCATCTGCTGCTCCCCGTAAGTGAGTTCTTACTTTCCTCTCTCTGTCTCTCCAACAAGTGCACATTCCCTATAGTAAACTGAAAAAAAGAAAAAATTCAGCTGCCTCACTATTCTCATTTCCATCCTGAGCTATCAGTGTGGGCCTCCCTAAAACTGTGATTGCAGTATGTCCCATACGCCCGTCAGTAGGGCCTCTGCATCATCTTCCCTCTTCTGGATTGCTCCTTGCCCAAATATTTGGTCCATTAAAAATGTTTGCATTTCTGGGCCAGGAGGTGGTGCTGGTTGAGGTGCTGGATTCCCATGTGGCTGACTATGGTCAAAGTCCTAGATCTGGTGGCTTGCTTTCTTACTCTCTCTCTCTCTCTCTCTCTCTCTCTCTGTCTCTGTCTCTGGTGAGTGTACGTGTCCTATAGCAAATTTTAAACTGATAATGATAAATTAAGTACTACTTTATTCTAGAGAGATTTTTGCTATAGGGTGTGTGTGCTCATCAGAGAGACAGAAAGCAAGAAATCACCCCATGGGGGATGGCCACACCACAATCCCTTCTCTAGAGATCTTGAGCACACATGCATACACATCTGATATGAGTTTTAAGCTGCCAGGTCTGGGTCTTGAACTGTGATCAACTATATGGGAGTCCAGTGACGTAACCATCATACCATCTGCTGGTCCCAATTCTTTAACATTTTTTTCACATTAAAAAATAATAATAATAATAAATAAAATAAAAAGGGACCAGCAGATAACATAATGGTTTACGTCGCTGGACTCCCACATGGCCAACTGCGGTTTGAGTCCCATACCCAGAGGCTTGAAACATGCCGGGCACTTGTACGTGCGTGCCCAAGATCCCAAGAGGAGAACAGAAAAGAAGGGATTGCGATGTGGCCATTCCCCATATGGGATGATTTCTTACTTTCTATCTCTCTGTCTCTGTCTCTCTCCAGTGAGTGCACATGCCCTATAGGAAAAATCTGCGCGGGGGGAACAAAAAGTTTTCACATTCCCGTCAAGTCTTACCCCTTTCCTTGCACACCCTATCTAAAACACTGTTCCTTCGCCAGCACTTCTTTTTCATAACACATACCTCTCATGCCACATACTAGGTTGTCGGGAGAGTCATGATGTACTTTTCTATGCAAAAATGCACCATGACGGGACCAGCAGATGGCGTAATGGCTACGTTGCTGGACTGCCATGTAGTAGATCGTGATTCGAGTCCCAGACCCGGTGACTTAAACTCACGCCGGGCGCGTGTGCGTGCGTGCCCAAGATCCCGAGAGGAGAATGGAGGAGAAGGGATTGCGGCGTGGCCATCCCCCCAGGGGGTGATTTCTCGCTTTCTGTCTCTCTGTCTTTCTCTGTCTTTCTGGCAAGTGCACGCACCCTATAGCGAAAACCTCTCAAAAAGGAAAAAACAAAAAAACACACCATGACTTTCCTGACGACCCAGTAGTTCTGTTTTAGCCCAGTCAGCCTCAGATAACCTGTAGGAACCAGCAATTCCACCGACTCAGTTTGTCGCTCATCGCAGTGAGGGAGACAGCCCGCTGGTGGAGCCCCTGGCCCTATCACTAACGGAAAAGAGGGTCGAACAGGATTTGGGAACGGGTGGGGTTCAGGTGAGAGTGAAGCGAGGCTCAGAGCACAGCTGTGTGAAGGGGTCGTGGCCTGGCGGCACAGGGGACCCAGGGTTCTGTTTCTGGGGAAATTCGGGTTATATAAGCGAGGAATGTGTGGGTTCCTTAGCTGCGGCTCTGCCTGTGGTGTGGACTCAAGGCTGTTTCTGTGTAGACCCAGCTCTGAGCCCCCACTGTGTGATGTGACCGAGAGGCCGCCGCTGACGTCCAGGAGCGGTCTGGCACTCCCCGCCAGGTCTTGGCGCTCTCCTAGTCACCAAAACAGTCACAGAACAGCAACATCCGGTTGTGATGGATCAAGACGGTGCAGGCCGGGACCACAGGTGGCGTCATGGTTTTGTCGCTAGACGCCCACATAGTTTACCATGGTTCAAGTCCCGGCCCTAGCAGCTTAAAACTCACCCCGGAATTGTGTGTATGTGTGCCCAAAATCCCAAAAGGAGAATGGAGGAGAAGGGATTGAGGCATGGCCATCTTCCCTGAGGGGTGATTTCTCACTTTCTGTTTATTTTAATTTGACCAGAGAAGGACAGAGTGAGAGAGAAAGTGAGAAAGCAAGCCACCAGGTCCAGGACTTAAACCGTGGTCGACCATGTGGGAGTCCAGCACCCCTAGCTACTACACCATTTGCCGGCCCCTAAAAAATTCTTTCTTGGGGCCAGCGGATGGCATAATGGTTACGTTGCTGGACTCCTACATGGTCAACCTTAGTTCAAGTCCCAGACTTGGTGGTTTTAAACTCAGGCTTTGGGGGGTGATTTTTCTTTCTTTTTGTTTTTGGGTTTTTTGTTTTGTTTTGTTTTTGTTTTTGTTTTGTTTTGTTTTGAGATGTTTTTTGCTATAGGACGCGTGCACTCTCCAGAAAGACAGAGAGAGACAAAAAGCAAGAAATCACCCCTCAAGGGTGTGGCCATGCCACAATCCCTTCTCCTCCATTCTCCTCTCAGGATCTTGGGCACGCACACACATGCACCCAGCGTGAGTTTAAGCCGCCAGGTCTGGGACTTGAACCACGGTCGGCTACATGGGAGTCCAGCGACATAGCCGTTACGCCAACTGCTGGTGGGGGGCGGGGGTGATTTTTCACTTTCTGTCTCACTGTCTCTCTGTCTCTCTGATGACCACATACACCCTATCGGAAAAATCACTCTGAAAAACAGAAACAAACAAAAAAAAAGCACTTTTTTAAACAGTGCCCTGCGCTCCTGTGAAAGTTGTCTGAATCAGTGGAGTTGTGTCAACTGACAGCTGAGCCTGGGAAGGCCGTGGCGGGTGTTTCCTCTAGCATGCCAGACAGTGCAAACGTCAGTTAAGGACTTCTGCCAGAACCACGACCTTGCACAGACCTCTGCACCCTGACAGGAGGGCTGTTCCTCTGAAGACATCTGCCCAGAGCGAACCAGCAGTTAACGTAATGGCTATGTCGCTGGACTCCCACATAGTCGACTGCGGTTCGTGTCCCGGACCTGGTGGCTTAAAACTCATGCTGGGTGCGTGTGCATGCGTGCCCAAGATCCCGAGAGGAGAATGGAGAAGGGATTGCGGCGTGACCATCCCCCCTGGGGGGTGATTTCTCGCTTTCTGTCTCTGTCTGGCGAGCACACG